TGATCAAATTAACTTCAACGCGCTGACAATGGACTATATTTGTGTGAAAATAAAGGGGGCCCACAAAAGGCGTCTTTATGTGGGATTTCACAGTTGTAATGTAAAACTGTTCCGCGCTGAACCGGACCCAAGGGTTTGAAAAGGCGACCGGGCCGAGGGGGGGTAGAACAACACGCTCGAGATCACAAAAGGTAAAAAAAAGAAGTAGAAGAAGAAGAGAGAGAAGCAGAGATGGAGCTGGTGTGGATTCATACGATTCATCGGAGGCAACACCAGATTTAACCACTTTTACTGGCACGGTACAGCACGGTACAGCACGGTACAGCACGGTACAGCACGGTACAGCACGGTTCATACACCACTCAAAGTGCTGAACAAAACAGGAAAGCATTAAAATCATAAATAATCACAGAACATTAAAAAGAAAGATAAAAATATAAAATCCCTCAGTTGTAGCACAACTAAACAGAACTGTCTTTAACCTGGTTTTAAACATTGTCAGAGAGGAGGCCTGTCTCACATCTTCAGGAAGACTGTTCCAGATTTTAGCAGCATGAATCTGAAAAGCAGCCTCCCCATGTTTAGTTCTGACTCAGAGTTCCAGCAGGAGGCTGGACCAGTGTAAAACCATAAATCCTCTCTGCTCTGGTCTGGACCAGTAAACCATGAATCCTCTCTGCTCTGGTCTGGACCAGTGTAAAACCATGAATCCTCTCTGCTCTGGTCTGGACCAGTGTAAAACCATGAATCCTCTCTGCTCTGGTCTGGACCAGTGTAAAACCATGAATCCTCTCTGCTCTGGTGTGGACCAGTGTAAAACCATGAACACTGAACTGCAGAAACATCTCAGGCCGAAAAAAAACAAGAAAAATAACAATTGTAAAACACAGAACAACAGTTTCAGAGACACTCAGGACTCGCAGCAGTTTTCCAGAACATTCAGGACTAAAGTAATAATTACATAGTTTAACATTTTGTGGTTTGAAAATTCCCAGCTTTAAAACTTTTGCCATCAGTTTTATTCTTCCATCTCTCATTCAACAGTTATTCTCATATTGGCGCTACAGGAGTCCTTTCCGCTGATAATAAAGTCGTGTCCGGTGCGACAGGGCCCTATGAGGAGACAGACGTGTATGTGGTGTTAAAGTGCATTCCTCCACTGAGCTCTGGGTGTTACGGCCTTTCTGATGCCACTCAACAGAGCTTTCTGATGCCACTCAACAGAGCTCTCTGATGCCACTCAACAGAGCTCTCTGATGCCACTCAACAGAGCTCTCTGATGCCACTCAACAGAGCTCTCTGATGCCACTCAACAGAGCTCTCTGATGCCACTCAACAGAGCTCTCTGATGCCACTCAACAGAGCTCTCTGATGCCACTCAACAGAGCTCTCTGATGCCACTCAACAGAGCTCTCTGATGCCACTCAACAGAGCTCTCTGATGCCACTCAACAGAGCTCTCTGATGCCACTCAACAGAGCTCTCTGATGCCACTCAACAGAGCTCTCTTTCGGCTAAACAGTCTGGAGCCCTCGGCAGACACCGTTTAAAAGGCCACAGAGGAAAAGCTTATCTGATGTCTCCTCAATGGGCCGTGAGCTGCGTTATGGGCCACGATAAGGAGTGTGTGTGTGTGTGTGTGTGTTTGTGTGTGGGTGTGTGTGTGTCTGTGTGTGTGTGCGTCTGTGTGTGTGTGCGTGTGTGTGTGTGTCTGTGTGTGTCTGTGTCTGTCGGTGTGTGTGTCTGTGTGTGTGTGTGTGTGTCTGTCGGTGTGTGTGTCTGTGTGTGTGTGTGTCTGTGTGTGTGTCTGTCGGTGTGTGTGTCTGTGTGTGTGTGTGTGTGTGTGTCTGTGGGTGTGTGTGTGTGTGTCTGTGTGTGTGTGTGTGTCTGTCGGTGTGTCTGTGCGTCTGTGTGTGTGTGTGTGTCTGTGTGTGTATCTGTCGGGGTGTGTGTCTGTCGGTGTGTGTGTGTGTCTGTGTCTGTGTGTGTGTGTGTGTGTGTGTGTCTGTGTCTGTGTGTGTGTGTGTGTGTGTGTGTGTGTGTGTGGTGTGTGTGTGTGTGTGTGTGTGTGTGTGTCTGTCGGTGTGTGTGTGTGTCTGTGTGTGTGTGTGTTTGTCTGTGTGTGTGTCTGTGGGTGTGTGTGTGTGTGTCTGTCGTGTGTGTGTGTGCGTGTGTGTGTGTGTGTGTGTCTGTGTGTGTATCTGTCGGGGTGTGTGTCTGTCGGTGTGTGTGTGTGTCTGTGTGTGTGTGTGTGTGTGTGTCTGTCTGTGTCTGTGTGTGTGTGTGTGTGTGTGTCTGTGTGTGTGTGTGTCTGTGTCGGTGTGTGTGTCTGTCGGTGTGTCTGTGTGTGAGTCTGTGTCTGTGTCTGTGTGTGTGTCTGTTGGTGTGTGTGTGTGTGTGTGTCGGTGTGTGTCTGTGTCTGTGTGTGTGTGTGTGTGTGTCTGTCGGTGTGTGTGTGTGCACTTGTTTTCAACTCCTGGTGGGTTCCATAACCTGAGATTCCACTCACGTCATGGGGACTGGTTTTACGTGGTGGGGCCCGAACACCGGACCCCACTGGTCCAAGCTTAATAATCAATGGGTAATGCTTTTCTAACGGTCCTTATGCAGTCTCTGTAAAAATATGGAAAGGACCCCTGGAGGTTTACTTTCCTGAAAAAAGTGTGTTATGTGTCGGAACCCTGGTGGTGGGTTGCGGGATATCAAGGAGGGGCACACTGGGGCAATTTCAGTCCAGCAGGCTGGAGCCAATCATGGAGCAGCACAACAGAGGCTGGAGCCAATCATGGAGCAGCACAACAGAGGAAATCAGGTGTCAGGCTAGAAAAAGGTGCAAGTGTGTGGTTCATTAGGCTGCAAGAAATCATGGAGGAGCACACTGAAGCGCACGCTTACAAACCACTGGTAAGTGCTGACTACAAGTCATGACTTCAAATTGTTATATAGAATGATTACAAATTATTTGTTGTTTGTGCAGCTTAGTCAAGAGTCCCTAATTGATGAAGTCGACTCAGATTCTGACGATTTAACTGTCAAGAAGAAACCTGTAAAAAAGTATGGAAAAAGAAAAATCAAAAACACTTTTCTTCAAGACTCGGAAAGTGACGAACCAAAGGCAAATAAGATTGTTATCATGCAGCTGCAAAAGAAGAAAAATGGGGGGCGAGTATACAGCAAGAGACACTTCTGCCTCTACTGTTCAATGTCCTGCCACAAAATGTCCCGTCATTTGACTAGAAAACATGGAAATGAAAGTGACGTAGCCAGAGCATTGGCTCTACCTGTGAAATCTAAAGCACGTAAACTTCAGTTTGATTTGATCAGGAATAGTGGAAACCGTGAGCACAATTTTGAGGTTTTAAAGGCCGGCATTGGAACTTTAGTCCCAGCTAAACAGCCAAATTCCCCAGTTAAATCCAGTGAGTTTTTGCACTGTATAGACTGTGGGGCATTGCTTAAGCGAAAGTCGCTGTGGAGGCATGTGGCCAGGTGCCGGCTTTCACAGAAAGATGCCCAGGCTAAACCAGGTAGAAGTAGGGTCCAGTCCCTCTGCTCCCTAGCCCAGCCTGTACCGGAGGGCATCAGCAAAAAGCTGTGGTCTTTAATTTCGGCAATGCATCAGGATGAGGGTCACGGGTGTTGTCAAAGCAGAAAAGGGGATTCTGAGACTCGGAGAGCACCTGTACTTAAAACACGGGCATGATAAGACAAAGCATGATTACATTAGGCAGAAAATGAGAGAAGTCGGTAGGTTAATTAACGAAGCAAAAACCGCAGGGAAACTGAAAACAATTAAGGATTTCTTTATTCCTTCCAACTTTAACCATGTGATTGATGCAGTCAGGTCTGTGGCTGGATATGATGAGGAAACAAATCAATACAAGACTCCATCCTTGGCCCTCAAACTCGGCCATAGCCTCAGAAAGCTAGCAGATATTCTTGAATGTGACTCAAAAATGGAGCATTGTGTTGATGAACTATTTATTAAAAACCTCCAACGAAGCCGGCTGCTTTTTGAGAAGAGGTGGGACGTCTGTGTTTCTTCTGCTGCCCTACAGACCCTCCGGCAAGCCAAGTGGAACACTCCGGACCTGCTCCCTCTGACTGAGGACGTTAGAGCCATGCATGCACATATTGAGGTATGTCGACCTGAATATGTGCAAACCCTAATAAGTGAGCCAACGTCTAAGCATTGGTCTAAACTGGCAGTTTTGACTCTTTGTGAGGTCATCATTTTCAATCGAAGAAGGGAAGGTGAGGTTTCAAAGATGCCACTGACAGCCTTTACCTTAAGAAGTAAGACTGGGATCCATTCTGACATTGCTCTGGGACTGTCCCAACTTGAGAAAAAGCTGTGTCAGCATTTTCAACGCATTGAAATTAAAGGGAAAAGAAGTCGGAAAGTGCCGGTTCTTTTGACTCCTGAAATGATTGCTTCGATGGAGGTGCTGGTGGAGAACAGAAGGGCCTGTTCCATCTCTGACCATAACCCATACTTCTTTTCCCGCCCGGGCGCAGACACCCACATCAGGGGATCAGACTCCCTACGCCAGGTAGCCAAAGAATGTGGTGCGGTGCATCCAGAGATGCTATCCTCAACCAAACTTAGAAAGCACATAGCTACTATGTCTACAGTTCTCAATATGAAAGAGAATGAGATGGACATACTTGCCAACTTCCTCGGCCATGACATTCGCATCCACAGGCAATATTACAGACTACCAGAGGGGACACTGGAGCTGGCCAAAATCAGCAAAGTGTTGATGGCCATGGAGCAGGGAAGAGTGACGGAATTCGAAGGAAAGAGCCTCGACCAGATACAAATTGAGCCTGAAGGTAATTCTTGATATTATTAAAATATGTATGATTTTTTTCCCCTAAAGGCCACTTGTATTTTTATTTTCTGTGCGACAAGGAGAGCAGTAGAGATCCTCTCACAAACGGACGGGCTAAAAGAAACTTCAAGCGGAGAACCTTCAACCATTCATCCAGATGCACCCCATGGTAGTGGCAGTGCCCCTTCTGGTAAGTGTACCAGGTGGGGGATTACAGCCAGGCTGCTTGGTCCTCACCCTGGGAGTGTATATTGCTAATATATTTTTATTTCTCTCCCTAGAACGTGTAAGAAAGCCATGGTCTGCATCTGAGGTGAAGGCTGTGGAGAAGACCATGACACCTTTCATACAGACTGGAAAGGTCCCTGGGAAGTCTCACTGCCTGGCCTGCATTAATGCCTCACCAGATGACCTTAGACATCGGACATGGAGTGGCATTAAATTCTATGTCAAAAATAGAATCACTGCAATTCGAAAACAAAATCTAAAATAAAATTCCTTTAAAATAGTTGTTTGGTTTCTATTGACTGTTTTGTATTACTTAAAGTCTTGGTAAAAAAAGATTATGTCTATGGGTCCCATTCTGAACGGCCCTGTCAAAGGGACCCACCAGGTAACAAAAACGTGTATGTGTGTCTGTGTGTGTGTGTGTGTGTGTCTGTGTGTCTGTGTGTCTGTGTGTCTGTGTGTGTGTGTGTGTGTCTGTCGGTGTGTCTGTGTGTGTGTCTGTGTCTGTGTGTGTGTGTGTGTGTGTCTGTTGGTGTGTGTGTGTGTCTGTGTGTGTGTCTGTCGGTGTATGTGGAGCCCAGCCATTGGTGCGTTCGCGGACCCCATTCAACTGTAGGAGATCAGAGATTGTCGTGAGGAGAGACAGTGTGTGTGACCACTGCTGGACCACATTCACATAGAGACATGATCCAGTTTAGTTCATGTTTTTGGATCCTGAGAAAGTTTTAATCTAAGTTCCAATAGATCGATTGATACTTTATTGATCCCCGTATGAGAAATTCAGGTGTCCATACATCAACCAGCATCCAAATATGAATAAATACATAATTCTGGTCTATAAAAACAGTAGTAAATTAATAAAATGCGAAAACTAAGAGATCTGTTGTAAAGTTTTATGGCTGAAGTAACGAAGGATTTCTTAATTTCTTTCTTTTACTGCCACCTGTTTGTGTTTGTTTAGATTTCAGGGTTTCAAGCCTTGTTGCCATCGTGATTAAAACAGAAATGTCATTTTAAATATCTCCGACATTGAACAAAACAGGGAGAGGAAACCCAGAGAGTCCTAAAACTCTCAGATCTACAGAGCAACCAGCATCAGGTTTATGAGGCGAGAAATGTGGGAATGAGGAAAGACATAACATGGGACAGAAAAGCGCCCGTAGAGCACATACCTCAGCCAAGAGGCGCAATTCTACTTCTCGATAACCTCCAAAATCTAATCATTTCTGGCTAAAACAGATAAACCGAACCAGGTAAGATGGGATACGCAATATTGAACGGACAAAAACTCCCACAATCCTTTGCGACAGCACTACAACTCTCATTCTGCCAAACCAGGAAGTAAAATAAAGTGACAGGAAGCCACAATATTATTATGCTAAAGCTAGAGATGTTATTCGTGATTCTTGTTTCTTAATTCTGCTAAAGTCTAAACTTATATCATTCTGTATTATGCAAAAGTTAAAGATTTGAATGTATTTTAGTATGGAGTTATTGATCACTTAGCTCCTCCGTCCCACTGCACTGTAACTAGTGACGCAACACTGAAATTTCCCCACTGTGGGACAAATAAAGAATCTCTCAAACTCAACGTCAACTTAAAACACTAAACCTGAGCTCCATATTGAAACACACGCAGGTATAAGAGTCGTCTGAGCTGCCGTTTCCACTTCAAACTCAACAACAACAACAAAAAACATGTAATATCTCTGTGATAAGACGGTGGTGCGTTCACTAGCCCCTCCTCAAAGTCGGGAGATAAGAGTGCCGCGCAGAGACGGGAACACAGAGAGGGGATAGAGCCGCAGAGAAAGAAGGGGTTTGGCTTTTCCTGCTCTCCCTTTCAGGCCGTAGGAGTCAGCGCCGACACACAAAGGCCCCCAAAGCCGGTTCCCAAACGGCCCCTGAATGAGGCTCCGTTGGTGGCGGCGGTGCATTCAAAGCCTCTCCCATTGGGCACATTGTCCTGGAGGATCGCGGCAGGAGAATGCGGTTTGCTGGTGGCTGCCAAAAGGTTAGCAGCAGCAGTGAAAAGAGCTGGCCATTATTCACTTGGCTTTTTACAGAGGGAGGGGGGAGGGAAGGGGGAGGGAAGGGGGAGGGAGGGGGGAGGGAGGGGACTACAGGACCCCTCCTCTCTCGGCTTTCTCTGGACATTAGGAGATGGTAAACACAACAGAGCGTCCGTGAATGTGTCATGGTTAGCATTTAATAAAGAATATTTCAATTAAACTATTTATTAATTTTTTGTTTATTTGGTTGGAACCCGGAGGAAACCTACGCAGACACGGGGAGAACATGCAAACTCCACTCAGAAAGGCCCTGTTCCAACTGGGCCTTTCTGAGACTATCTATAACAATGTCTCCCAATAGCTATTCCTAAAAAATACTTTGACAACTTTGACCGAATCTGCAACATACGGAATGGGAAACGCCCCAGAGTAAAATGAATTAAAATGCAAACGCCAATCAATCAGGGAGGTATGAGCTTTACCAAAATAATTCTGTATTATTAGCCTTTTGCCCAAGAAACATTGCTCTTCAAAAATGGCTCACTACAAACAGTGGGATAGGGTCACATCCCCGTCTGTGTCTCCTGCTGTAGAACTCTAGCTAAGCCTTCTTCATTTGTATTATTTCTTATTATATACATTAGGTATCGTTTGTTATTCATTTATTTACTTTTATCCATTATTTTTATTATTATTATTAACTTTATATTTATTTTTGCTGATTTTCTCCCCTCATGGCATCTTTTGTTTACTACCTGTGGTCAAACTGTCTGTGAATCGCTTATGGATAAATGTATGACTGAAAAGGAGACACAATAATATATAAATTACAAAAATAAGGATGAATATTGCATTGGACGTGGTTCAGATTTAAAGCTGGGGGACCTAACTTTAAAGCTACACAAGATTGAACTGTGTAATTACAATCTCTGTGTGTTCGGCCTTTGTCACTTTGAAACTTTTATAGACATAAAATAGAACAACACAGGACTCTTGCTCAGGATCTGAACCCAAAGCATCAAATAGTGACTCTCAGGGATCCATTTTAACATTTTATGATGAGTGTCCCAGCTTTCATATTTTTCTTTTACTTTTTACATTTTCAACAGAGTAAGACCTTTTTATTTTTGATCCTATTCCTTCACTAATTCCCCTGGTGTAAAAACATGAATAAAAGTATAAATATAGTCAATACTATTCTAAATAAAGTAGAACACAAGAGAAAAGTCATTAGAAAAAACACAAAAAACACCATAAAAAATAAATATATATTTTTGATTGAATACATGTTTGTTAAAGATGCTATTCTTGATTTATTTTTCTATTGAGTTAATAAAAATGCTTCTCACTACTAACAAATTGTATTAAAATAATGTAATGTAAAACGTGATCTCATTGATTCAGCTGTGTATGAATTAAAAAGTGCTGAGTAGAGACTTAGCGTGACGCCCGCTCTCCTCCAATCACAGAACGAGGCTGCGTCCTCTAGCCTCTACAGCGCTGCTAAACACAGTAGCATGTTAGCATAAGTGGCTATAACTCCTCTGGCTGTAACTGCAGACACAGCAAAACTGTACTGTACTCGGACTATCTACGCTCGGACTATCTACGCTCGGACTATCTAGGCTCGGACTATCTACGCTCGGACTATCTACGCTCGGACTATCTACGCTCGGACTATCTACGCTCGGACCATCTACGCTCGGACCATCTGCGCTCGGACCATCTGCGCTCGGACTATCTACGCTCGGACTATCTGCTCTCGGACTATCTACGCTCGGACCATCTACGCTCGGACTATCTACGCTCGGACTATCTGCTCTCGGACTATCTGCTCTCGGACTATCTACGCTCGGACTATCTGCGCTCGGACTATCTACGCTCGGACTATCTGCTCTCGGACTATCTACGCTCGGACTATCTACGCTCGGACTATCTGCGCTCGGACTATCTACGCTCGGACTATCTGCGCTCGGACTATCTACGCTCAGACTATCTACGCTCGGACTATCTACGCTCAGACTATCTACGCTCGGATTATCTACGCTCGGACTATCTACGCTCGGACTATCTACGCTCGGACTATCTACTCTCGGACTATCTACGCTCTGACTATCTACGCTCTGACTATCTACGCTCGGACTATCTACGCTCGGACTATCCACGCTCGGACTATCTGCGCTCAGACTATCTACGCTCAGACTATCTAGGCTCGGACTATCTACGCTCGGACTATCTACTCTCGGACTATCTACGCTCTGACTATCTACGCTCGGACTATCTACGCTCGGACTATCTACGCTCGGACTATCCACGCTCGGACTATCCGCGCTCAGACTATCTACGCTCGGATTATCTACGCTCGGACTATCTACGCTCGGACTATCTACGCTCGGACTATCTACTCTCGGACTATCTACTCTCGGACTATCTACGCTCTGACTATCTACGCTCGGACTATCTACGCTCGGACTATCTACGCTCGGACTATCCACGCTCGGACTATCCGCGCTCAGACTATCTACGCTCAGACTATCTAGGCTCGGACTATCTACGCTCGGACTATCTACGCTCGGACTATCTGCGCTCGGACTATCTACGCTCGGACTATCTACGCTCGGACTATCTACGCTCAGACTATCTAGGCTCGGACTATCTACGCTCGGACTATCTACGCTCGGAGTATCTACGCTCGGATTATCTACGCTCGGACTATCTACGCTCGGACTATCTACGCTCGGACTATCTACGCTCGGACTATCTACTCTCGGACTATCTACGCTCTGACTATCTACGCTCGGACTATCTACGCTCGGACTATCTACGCTCGGACTATCTGCGCTCGGACTATCTACGCTCGGACTATCTACGCTCAGACTATCTACGCTCTGACTATCTACGCTCGGACTATCTGCGCTCGGACTATCTGCGCTCGGACTATCTGCGCTCGGACTATCTACGCTCGGACTATCTGCGCTCGGACTATCTGCGCTCGGACTATCTACGCTCGGACTATCTGCTCTCGGACTATCTACGCTCGGACTATCTACGCTCGGACTATCTGCGCTCGGACTATCTGCGCTCGGACTATCTGCGCTCGGACTATCTGCGCTCGGACTATCTACGCTCGGACTATCTGTTCTCGGACTATCTACGCTCGGACTATCTACGCTCGGACTATCTGCGCTCGGACTATCTACGCTCGGACTATCTGCGCTCGGACTATCTACGCTCGGACTATCTGCTCTCGGACTATCTACGCTCGGACTATCTACGCTCGGACTATCTACGCTCGGACTATCTACGCTCGGACCATCTACGCTCAGACTATCTACGCTCGGACTATCTACGCTCGGACTATCTACGCTCGGACTATCTACGCTCGGACTATCTACGCTCGGACTATCTACGCTCGGACTATCTACGCTCGGACTATCTACGCTCGGACTATCTACGCTCAGACATTCGGACGTGAAACTAGCGGTAATCTTACAGTTATATATTTTGTTAGCAGTGCGTTGCTTTAGTTCCATTTCATCAGTGATTGTTGTACAGCTTAAGATGTGCTAATGCTAATGTTAGCATCAGATCACAAATAAAACTAGATGGCTTCGTGGAATGAGAGCGTAGGGGAAATGAGAAGCCTGTGAGCGAGTTGGGGGCGGGGCTAAACATTCAGACCTTACAGAAACGGGTCTAGCTCCTTTAAGGGAAAGTATAAACCATTCCCTGAACATGTCACGATGTCAAACCAATAACCAATGTTTTTAAAAAAGGTATTAAACAAAACTAAGAAACCCCAAACTTGTCAAACCCGTCGCAGACAGACAGGCCGCCCCAAACTTCATCTGCTTAATTAAATCTCCAACAACAGACTTTTGAAAAATTACAACAGGCGTCATTGTTTCCAATCCACTTTTAAGGTGACCCTCAAAAATAAATCACGGCCTGAAGCGCGACAAAAGCTGAAGCAAACGAGATGAAAACACTTTGGCATACACGGCTTTTCAAACTTCATTACCGCAATAAATCCAGGTTAAGTTACAACGTCATAAAAAACTGCAAAAGCCGCTATTTTGTCCTAAACACTCCCACTTCAATGTCCATTAAACCGGGACAATTCTTTCATCAAATCCCGACACGGAGCAGGTAAAATATGTGGCCGTGGCTCATAACTCAGGCGGCGGAGTGGATGTGGTGCTAATGTATGCCGCCCTTTATGCATGTAGTCATTGAGAGAGCTGCATGTTTGGCATTCAGAGGTGGCGGGCGCAGAGGCGGCGGGCGCAGAGGCGGCGGGCGCAGAGGCGTCGGGCGCAGAGGCGGCGGGCGCAGAGGCGGCGGGCGCAGAGGCGGCGGGCAGCCTGTGGTGGAGCTGCTGCAGAACCAGTTATTGGGCAAAAGAAAGTGTGTTTTTGTGTGTACGTGTGTGTATTGTCAACACTTATGGACATTGGTCGTCTGCCTCTGATGGACCAATGGCTCTATGTGTTTCTTTTGTTTGAACGGTTTCACTGATAAAGTCCATTCATCCGTCCATCTTCTTCCCCTTAATCCATTTCTGAGTCGGGGGTGGCAGTCAGAGCACCAGCCCCTCCCTGATCCTCCTGCAGGTGCTGATCTTACAGCGGGGGCTTCAGGCAAAGTGGGGTTAAGTGTCTGAACGTCGCCTGAGAAACCGACTGTTGTGATTTAGGGCGCTACAAGAACACATTAAACTGAATTAACACTCCCAGAGCAGTCAATTTCAAAGTGTAATTACTCGGATTTTTCTGATCTTTCAAACGTTGTGACTTTTACTGTATCTAGGCGAGGCAAGGTTATTTTTATAGCACAGTTCAAACGCAAGAGGCCTCAAAGTGCTGAACATAATACGAAAGAAACAGTTAAGATACAATCCTTCAGTTGTACTCACAGCTAAACTGTTTAAACCTGGATTTGGACATTGTAGAAGAAGAAGCCTGTCTCACATTTTCAGGAAGACTGTTCCAGACATTACCTGCATCAATCTGGAATGCATCCCCATGTTTAGTCCTGACTCTGGTACCAGCAGGAGGCCAGTCCCTGTGCTCCTCAGAGTCCCAGCAGGAGAGGCCAGTCCCTGTGCTCCTCAAGAGTCCCAGCAGGAGAGGCCAGTCCCTGTGCTCTTCAAGAGTCCCAGCAGCAGAGGCCAGTCCCTGTGCTCCTCAAGAGTCCCAGCAGGAGAGGCCAGTCCCTGTGCTTCTCAGAGTCCCAGCAGCAGAGGCCAGTCCCTGTGCTTCTCAGAGTCCCAGCAGGAGAGGCCAGTCCCTGTGCTCCTCAGAGTCCCAGCAGGAGAGGCCAGTCCCTGTGCTCCTCAGAGTCCTAGCAGGAGAGGCCAGTCCCTGTGCTCCTCAGAGTCCCAGCAGGAGAGGCCAGTCCCTGTGCTCCACAGAGTCCCAGCAGGAGGCCAGTCCCTGTGCTCCTCAGAGTCCCAGCAGGAGGCCAGTCCCTGTGCTCCTCAGAGTCCCAGCAGGAGAGGCCAGTCCCTGTGCTCCTCAGAGTCCCAGCAGGAGGCCAGTCCCTGTGCTCCTCAGAGTCCCAGCAGGAGAGGCCAGTCCCTGTGCTCCTCAGAGTCCCAGCAGGAGGCCAGTCCCTGTGCTCCTCAGAGTCCCAGCAGGAGGCCAGTCCCTGTGCTCCTCAGAGTCCCAGCAGGAGGCCAGTCCCTGTGCTCCTCAGAGTCCCAGCAGGAGGCCAGTCCCTGTGCTCCTCAGAGTCCCAGCAGGAGTCCAGTCCCTGTGCTCCTCAGAGTCCCAGCAGGAGTCCAGTCCCTGTGCTCCTCAGAGTCCCAGCAGGAGTCCAGTCCCTGTGCTCCTCAGAGTCCCAGCAGGAGTCCAGTCCCTGTGCTCCTCAGAGTCCCAGCAGGAGGGCTCCACACAGAGATGGGAGCGGGGCCATTACAGGAGGCACAGACCTATTGTACATGTTTTTAGTGGTAGGGGGAACCGGAGCACTCGGAGGAAACCTACACAGACACTGAGAGAACCTGCAAACTCCACCCAGAAAGGCACTGTTCCGACCGGGATTCGAACCCAGAACCTTCCTGTTGAGAAGCCAGAGTGCTATCCACAGTGAGCCATATTTATTTATATAACGCCTTCACAAACCAGTCACAATGAAGCAAGGACCTTTGTGTTTGCCGTCGCTCTGGGCTCGCATTAGTCAACCCTAGAAAAGAGTTGAAACTTCATTTAGCGAATTAACACGTTCCAGCTCGACATCTGGACAGACTTTTGAACGGGCCACAAACACAGGCCTCTCCTCCGGCTGAGATTAGAACAACCAAACAGTTGTGTTCTGGTCAGGCAGAGAGAGCAGGGGCAGAACCACGCACTCTATCATTCTGTTCATCGTGACGCTGCAAATGGATATCGCATAAATCACATTAGGCCTGTGTGTGTGTGTGTGTGTGTGTGTGTGTGTGTGTGTGTGCGTGCGTGTGCGTTTCTATAGGGGGAGAGGTAAAACCATGCAAAAGTGAATTACCCGAGGATAATCTGAATGTTTACCATTTATAGGCAAACATGGATTCATGTTATTCGGCTTCATTTGCCGTCAGAGTTCTGCGTTTCTTGGGGCAATAACAGGAAAGACAAACACATTTGAGTAATAAGTTCTTGTGCTTTTGCGCTAACAAAGCAAAAATATAAAGGTTTTCTGGAGATGTCTTATGTTTGAACAGCCAGTATTGCTCGGTGAGTGTCTAATTATGGACTAAAGCAAAGAAAAATGTCCAGTTAGATCGGACTTGTCTACAGAGAAAATGAGAATTGAACCTTATAAGTTCAAAATCTTGGAAATAAGTCATTGTTTAAAAAGATTCAAGGGTCACAACTCAGAAATGCAGAGAGACTTTTTGACTCTATGCAATTCAGAATTAGCTAAAATGTGCAATAACCTTTTGTGGTACATTGGTGTGTGTGTGTAACTTCTGCCTTTTTTAAAGGGGACATATCATGAAAAATCCACTTTTTGTGCCTTAAATGCCTTATGTTGTGTAGTTGGAACCTCGAGAAGTGCAAAAAAGTTGAAATCAGTCTCTTCATGGGTTGCAGAGAACACTTCATATTCTGTTTAGGTAAGATTTTTCAACCCGTTCTGATTTTGCCATTCTCTATTACGTGTTTAGAATTATTACGTCACAGTATTTGCAGCGGGACTGCCATATAAGGGCATGGGCGTCTAACAAAACACTTCGGCCCAGCCCTCCTCTACTGCGCATCACTTCATTTGTAGTCCAAGCTCAAGGATGCCAGCGCACAGGGCTGGACTGGCCATCGGGCGTACCGGGCAATGCCCAAAGGGCCGATGCCCATATTTGGGCCGGTCTGTCTGCCTCATACAAAACACATGTTTATGAGAAGTGTAAATCCATTGAGATTTGTTGGAGCGGGGCGCGCGTATCCGCGGGGCACCTGCTGTATGTACTCGAACGGGATTCCGCCACCTCAGCGGCCGCAGTGTTCCGGGGCATCTGCGGCCGCTTTGTAATGAGCAGCTTCCGCGTCCAGCGGCTGCGAGAGGCTGTTGCCGTGTTCAGACCGATCGCGATGGAGGAGTCAGGGGCGAGTGATTTACATGTTATGTCTATGGCCGGGTGCGCTCAGGAGCGAATGACAGGCCGGCGGTGCGAATGACGAGAGTAGAGCGAGGCGAACAGGGCGTTTTGAACGAAAAGAGCGGAACGAAAGTGGCGAAAGGGGCGTTTGACGCGCGCCTAGAGCCATTTCGCCTCCACCGCCCTACTCGCTCGAGTTGAAAAATCTGAACTTTTTGGTCAATTCGCGGGGCGTTGACCAATCAGGGACTGAATCGAGCAGTGACGTAGCATTGAACAACATTTAGTTATCTAACCTAATGGACTATTAATTATCTAACCCCCACCTGAAACGAGCTTATCGTGTCTAGTTTGGCATAACTAACTGATTAGTTTGGCATAAATCTAAAAGCTAAACAGTGGCACAATGGCTTTACATGTAAAGTACTTGGATTATAACATTTGGAACGCGGGACAGCAGGTCCTCAAACTGGGTCCTGGACACACGGAAATACCGCTGGAATCGACCGTCATCCAGGCGCAGCTCCTGGAGCAGATGGTGGTACTCCCCATATTGGGAGCGTCTCTGGAGGATATCGTGGACCCAGAGACGGCGTCGCTGCCGCCGCTGTTCGGCTTTCCACATTAAATAAAGTATAGTGACTCGTTCCAGAAAATCAAAGCCCGCCATGCTGAGTTGAACAACAACCGGAACCGGCAACTGGCCATAAGCTCCTCCTATTGGATGACGCGGCGAGGCGAAATCTCGACGAAAATCCGCAGGCGAACAGAGCGAGTAATCGCCGCGATAGAAGCGAGTGTCATCAAATATTCAAGCGAAAAACGCCTGGCGTTTGATGCGATTTTTTCGCCTCCATCGCGATCGGTCTGAACACGGCATAAGAGCGTCCAGCGGCTGCGAGAGGCTGTGAGCGTCCAGCGGCTCCACCGTGTTGTGGCTGAGCGCGCAGCCTCAACGTGGCCATGTACCCAACCCCATAAACGCGCACAGGACCATGCGTGTCTTTGAGTAATCTGTGCACCCAATAAATACACTGCTGCAGGAAACAGTCCGCGTCTCCCCTCTCCTCTCGAAGCGCGATTAAACGCCCTAAATAAAGCTCTGATACCTACATTTTGCATTGCATTAAAAGTTCATGTTTGAGCCCAAAAGTAATATGTTGTGAACAAATTAAACAGATTTAGAGCCAGCAAATGGTTGACAATATTCATTTCAGTCTTTTTTGACCAATTCTCATCCCTGTAACAAACAATAGTGTTGTCTGTGTCCACCTAACCCTCACTCTGAGACATGTTTATTACTCTCTTGTAATGTAGACTATTGTATTTTATTTTATTGTTGAAACTGCACATATCCTGATCCTCTACAGTATTTGCTTCCACATACTGTATAAACTAGGAGTCGGCAACCTGCTGCTCCGGAGGCGCATGTGTCTCTTTCCTTCTGTAGAAGGAAAAACGTTCTTAACGTTTTTAAATGCTGTAAAATTGTGCATAAGTAATATTCAATTTAAAATGTTCTGTCAACGTGTCTGTCAAATCGGCGTGTGAGCATCATAGACTGTGCGCATGGATCCCAAAGCTAAAAAGAGAAGAGTCGATAATAAGACTGGACTAAGAATGAAAGTTAACATTTGCTTTCAGTCAGTGAGGAAGGAGTGCTTCATGTTTGCTAAGTAATGAGAAGTTTCTATGAGATAATTGTATCTGTGCTTAGAAACTACAAAAATGGCCGCTCGGGGTGGAGTTTAACCTGTGTCACCTGGATGGGGGCGTGGTCAAAAGCGCCTCATTTGCATTTAAAGAGACAGCATCAAAACAGGTTGCTCTCAGACGCACCTCAGAACAGGTGTAGAAGAAAGGCCCGTGGAGCTACAAATAATGAGACTCAGACCCAGGCCTTGCAGTTACGCTTTATATAGACCACAAATTAATGATTTAGATGTAAAAATCAATTATTTGAAAACATGATATGTCCACTTTAAAATGAATGGACCCAAAAAGACCAGTTGTTACAATACTTTATCATTACAGTAGGTCCATAATCCTCAAATGCAATGCAAAATGTCTCTTTGTTAGTAAATATACCGTATGTGTTTCTCCTTTCAGTAGAAAACACAAACATTTATGGACATTCGCCGTCTGCCCCTTATGGACCAATGCCAATGTTTGATCTGTTTTATAGTTTTAACCGTTTGATTCTCAGATCTGTGTTGGCGAATTCAGCAATTTTGTTAAGACACAACAGATAACTACTGTTGTGATTTAAGGCTAGACACAAAGAAATGGAACTGAACAGAACCAGATTGTGATTTGTGTGTGAACGGTGCGGACCTGTCGAGGACGTATCCCAGGGCCTTCTGTCGGGTCTTGGAGTAGACCGAGGGGCTCTTCTCGTAGGCCACCAGGTTGGACGCATCATGGAACAAGTGGATGTTCACCAAGTCGAAGGCACTGGAGGAAAACACATACATTATAATTACATTAGATAATTACATTAGATAATTACATTAGATAATTACATTAGATAATTACATTAGATAATTACATTAGATAATTACATTAGATAATTACATTACATAACTAGAAACCGTTGCAATGGCTGAAGCCATTGCGATTGACTGCGAAACAGATCTAATGTGGAATTTAGCTGAAAAATCCTTGCTGAAAAAAACTGTTAAAATACTTTAAACATCTTTGAAACTCCTGAAGTATTTGAAGCTCCTGATATCCTTTAAACTGTTATCCTTTATACTGGTTTACATGTAAAAACCCCTATTAAGTTGCATTATACTGGTTTACATGGAAAAATCCCCATTAAGTTGCATTATACTGGTTTACATGTAAAAAACCCTATTAAGTTGCATTATACTGGTTTACATGTAAAAATCCCTATTAAGTTGCATTATACTGGTTTACATGTAAAAACCCCTATTAAGTTCCATTATACTGGTTTACATGTAAAAAACCCCTATTAAGTTGCATTATACTGGTTTACATGTAAAAACCCCTATTAAGTTGCATTATACTGGTTTACATGGAAAAATCCCCATTAAGTTGCATTATACTGGTTTACATGAAAAAAACCCTATTAAGTGGCATTATACTGGTTTACATGAAAAAAACCCTATTAAGTTGCATTATACTGGTTTACATGGAAAAATCCCTATTAAGTTGCATTATACTGGTTTACATGGAAAAAACCCTATTAAGTTGCATTATACTGGTTTACATGTAAAAACCCCTATTAAGTTGCATTATACTGGTTTACATGGAAAAATCCCCATTAAGTTGCATTATACTGGTTTACATGTAAAAACCCCTATTAAGTTGCATTATACTGGTTTACATGGAAAAATCCCTATTAAGTTGCATTATACTGGTTTACATGGAAAAAACCCTATTAAGTTGCATTATACTGGTTTACATGTAAAAACCCCTATTAAGTTGCATTATACTGGTTTACATGGAAAAATCCCCATTAAGTTGCATTATACTGGTTTACATGAAAAAAAACCCTATTAAGTTGCATTATACTGGTTTACATGGAAAAATCCCTATTAAGTTGCATTATACTGGTTTACATGGAAAAATCCCTATTAGGTTGCATGATTACACTGAAGTCCTTGAAACTGCTGAAGTCCTTGAAACTGCTGAAGTCCTTGAAACTGTTGAAGTCCTTGAAACTCTTGAAATCTTGAAACTGCTGAAATCCTTGAAACTGTTGAATCCTTGAAACTGTTGAATCATTGAAACTGTAGAAATGTCTGAAAGAGCTGAAGTCCTATTAAAATGCATGGGCCTATTAAAATGCATTGCAGAATTCTCAATGCAGATTTTTGTCCGATTGCGGAAAAACCGGAAATCGCTGAAGTCCCAAAAGTAATAGCAATAATCTCCCAAACATGTGGAACGTTTTGATGTATAACTTGTGGAAATTGTTGAAAATGTGAAAGCTGTGAAACGTGTCAAAAAAAACTAGAAACTTGCAATGGCTGAAGCCATTGCGATTGACTGCGGAACAGATCTAATGTGGAAATCTGCTAAAAAAAATCCTTGAAATCCTTTAAAAGGCCTTGAAACTGTTAAAATACTTGATAGATATTTGAAACTCCTGAAGTCCTTGAAATTGTTGAAACCTTTAAACTCCTGAAATCCTTGAAACTGTTGAAACATTGAAACTCCTGAAATCCTTGAAACTTTTTTTAAACCTGGAAACTGTTGAAAGTGTGGAAACTCCTGAAATCCTTGAACCTCCTGATATCCTTGAAACTGGTTAAATTCTTAAACAGTTGAAATCCTTGAAACTACTGAATGTATTGAAAGTGTCCTTGAAACTGAAAAATCCCCTCACCGCTGAAACAATTTGGTTCCTGTAACTAAGGAAACCTGGTCTGTGGTCATTATCTGGTGGTGGTCTGAGTCTTCGTTTGGGTCTTGGTCTGGTGGTATAATGCAACCTATTAGGTTGCATTATACTGGTTTACATGGAAAAATCCCTATTAGGTTGCATTATACTGGTTTACATGGAAAAATCCCTATTAGGTTGCATTATACTGGTTTACATGGAAAAATCCCTATTAAGTTGCATTATACTGGTTTACATGGAAAAATCTCTATTAAGTTGCATTATACTGGTTTACATGGAAAAATCCCTATTAGGTTGCATTATACTGGTTTACATGTACAAATCCCTATTAAGTTGCTTTATACTGGTTTACATGTAAAAACCCCTATTAGGTTACATTATAGTGGTTTACATGTAAAAATCCTTATTAAGTTGCATTATACTGGTTTACATGTAAAAACCCCTATTAAGTTCCATTATACTGGTTTACATGTAAAAACCCCTATTAAGTTCCATTATACTGGTTTACATGTAAAAACCCTATTAAGTTGCATTATACTGGTTTACATGGAAAAATCCCTATTAAGTTGCATAATACTGGTTTACATGGAAAAATCCCCATTAAGTTGCATTATACTGGTTTACATGAAAAAAACCCTATTAAGTTGCATTATACTGGTTTACAAGGAAAAATCCCTATTAAGTTGCATTATACTGGTTTACATGGAAAAATCCCTATTAAGTTGCATAATACTGGTTTACATGGAAAAATCCCCATTAAGTTGCATTATACTGGTTTACATGTAAAAAACCCTATTAAGTTGCATTATACTGGTTTACATGGAAAAATCCCTATTAAGTTGCATTGTACTGGTTTACATGGAAAAAACCCTATTAAGTTGCATTATACTGGTTTACATGGAAAAAACCCTATTAAGTTGCATTATACTGATTTACATGGAAAAAACCCTATTAAGTTGCATTATACTGGTTTACATGTAAAAACCCCTATTAAGTTGCATTATACTGGTTTACATGGAAAAATCCCCATTAAGTTGCATTATACTGGTTTACATGAAAAAAAACCCTATTAAGTTGCATTATACTGGTTTACATGGAAAAATCCCTATTAAGTTGCATTATACTGGTTTACATGGAAAAATCCCTATTAAGTTGCATAATACTGGTTTACATGGAAAAATCCCCATTAAGTTGCATTATACTGGTTTACATGTAAAAAACCCTATTAAGTTGCATTATACTGGTTTACATGGAAAAATCCCTATTAAGTTGCATTGTACTGGTTTACATGGAAAAAACCCTATTAAGTTGCATTATACTGGTTTACATGGAAAAAACCCTATTAAGTTGCATTATACTGGTTTACATGGAAAAAACCCTATTAAGTTGCATTATACTGGTTTACATGTAAAAACCCCTATTAAGTTGCATTATACTGGTTTACATGGAAAAATCCCCATTAAGTTGCATTATACTGGTTTACATGAAAAAAAACCCTATTAAGTTGCATTATACTGGTTTACATGAAAAAACCCTATTAAGTTGCATTATACTGGTTTACATGGAAAAATCCCTATTAAGTTGCATTATACTGGTTTACATGGAAAAATCCCTATTAGGTTGCATGATTACACTGAAGTCCTTGAAACTGCTGAAGTCCTTGAAACTGCTGAAGTCCTTGAAACTGCTGAAGTCCTTGAAACTGTTGAAGTCCTTGAAACTCTTGAAATCTTGAAACTGCTGAAATCCTTGAAACTGTTGAATCCTTGAAACTGTTGAATCATTGAAACTGTAGAAATGTCTGAAAGAGCTGAAGTCCTATTAAAATGCATTGCAGAATTCTCAATGCAGATTTTTGTCCGATTGCGGAAAAACCGGAAATCGCTGAAGTCCCAAAAGTAATAGCAATAATCTCCCAAACATGTGGAACGTTTTGATGTATAACTTGTGGAAATTGTTGAAAATGTGAAAGCTGTGAAACGTGTCAAAAAAAATGACGGAATAAAGAAATACAAAACCAATGGTTGACTGCGGAAGGTTCCGCAGTCAATCAATGACGGAATAAAGAAATACAAAACCAATGGTTGACTGCGGAAGGTTCCGCAGTCAATCAATTAGAGCCGTGATCAAGTGGATCAGGAGAGAATCCACTGGAGGAACGCTAACTTTGTGAACAATGCTAATGAAGCATTTAGCATTTTACTTTGGACTAGAGCAGAGAAAATGGTCTGAACCAAACGGCTACTCCGTCCTGCTCCACCCAGAGGCTACTCCACCTCTGCTGCGGTGACCCGTCCTGCTCCACCCAGAGGCTACTCCACCTCTGCTGCTGTGACCCGTCCTGCTCCACCCAGAGGCTACTCCACCTCTGCTGCTGTGACCCGTCCTGCTCCACCCAGAGGCTACTCCACCTCTGCTGCTGTGACCTGTCCTGCTCCACCCAGAGGCTACTCCACCTCTGCTGCTGTGACCTGTCCTGCTCCACCCAGAGGCTACTCCACCTCTGCTGCTGTGACCTGTCCTGCTCCACCCAGAGGCTACTCCACCTCTGCTGCTGTGACCCGTCCTGCTCCACCCAGAGGCTACTCCCCCTCTGCTGCTGTGACCCGTCCTGCTCCACCCCTGCTCCTGTGACCTGTCCTGCTCCACCCAGAGGCTACTCCACCTCTGCTCCTGTGACCTGTCCTGCTCCACCCAGAGGCTACTCCACCTCTGCTGCTGTGACCCGTCCTGCTCCACCCAGAGGCTACTCCCCCTCTGCTGCTGTGACCTGTCCTGCTCCACCCAGAGGCTACTCCACCTCTGCTGCTGTGACCTGTCCTGCTCCACCCCTGCTCCTGTGACCTGTCCTGCTCCACCCAGAGGCTACTCCACCTCTGCTGCTGTGACCCGTCCTGCTCCACCCAGAGGCTACTCCACCTCTGCTCCTGTGACCTGTCCTGCTCCACCCCTGCTCCTGTGACCTGTCCTGCTCCACCCAGAGGCTACTCCACCTCTGCTGCTGTGACCATCTATGACGTGATCTATAATGTTGCACCAATAATTCCACATACCAGCTTTATTTATAAAGCACTTTAAAAACTTTACAGTTCAGCCAAAAACACAGTTAAAAACACATTGAAACACATAAAAATAAAACGTCATGAAATTGACTTTTTGATTACTTTGCCACTTACTTGTAACCTATTTTTCCTCACTTTTTACAGTGTATAATTATTTTCCCTATTTTTACCTGCAGCTCTGGATAACAACACTTAATATAACAAATGTGCCTTTTCTCGTATCTCTGGACTCCAAAGCTCCTCACTGATCCTATCCATCTCGCCGTTCCCGTCCTCGCTCTTCAGTGGGACGTCCCAGAAAGACAGCGTATCAAAGCGGGCTTACTGACTCTGTCTCATCTGTGGATCAAATCTCCCATTCTTCAACAGCTTTCATTTCAGCTCTTTAGGCCTCACTGCAGCGCTCTATTTCATTACCTCGCTCCTCCCCGTCTCCAAACATCGCCTTTGTCCACTACATCATACAAATCTTCAACTAATATTTATGTTTTTTGTCGTCTGTCACATGCTTTCTACTCGGCTAACGCTATTACCTCGGATCAAACGGTGGATCGTCTGAAGAAGAGATGGAGATGTGTGTTTGCTCACTCACCAGTCGTCCACGGCCCAGCGAGTTCGGATGAATCCTTTTCTGGACAACTTGGACTGCAACACAAAAGACACACACTCAACTTGGACTGCAGCGCAAAAGACACACACTCAACTTGGACTGCAGCGCAAAAGACACACACTCAACTTGGACGCACTATTTTCTCACTGTATGGAGCAGTCTTCCTGAAAATGTAAGACAGGCCTCAAAACAATATTATTCTGCTTCTACGTCTTCTCAAACTTTTCAAATGTGGCCCTGACGTTGCCATGACATCACATGATCTTTGCTCTGAACTTTTTGAGTGGTTTATCCAATCAGAATCCAGCACACATCCTCCAATCAGAATCCAGCACACATCCTCCAATCAGAATCCAGCACACATACTCCAATCAGAATCCAGCACACATACTCCAATCAGAATCCAGCACGCACCCTCCAATCAGAATCCACCACACCTCCTCCATCCTGACATGTTATTAAAACAGAAAATGATTCTGCGAGTTTTCTCATTATAAACATATAAATACAACTCTTTTTTTTGCCCTCCCTCCCTCTCTCTCTCTCTCCCTCTCCCTCCCTCCCTCTCTCTCTCTCTCTCTGACTCTCCCTCCCTCCCTCTCTCTCTCTCTCCCTCTACCTCCCTCCCTCTCTCTCTGACAGTCCCTCCCTCCCTCCCTCTCTCTCTCTGTCTCTCTCTCTCTCTCTGTCTCTCCCTCCCTCTCCCTCCCTCCCTCTCTCTCTGTCCCTCTCTCTCTCTCTGTCTCTGTCTCTCTCTCTCTCCCAACACCCACAACCCCACACCAATAAAAACCACAACCCCCCCCCCACACCCAACACCCACCCCAAACCCCCACCCCCACTTCAACACCCACACCCCAAAACCCTCACCCACCCCCCCAACACCCACACACAACCAACCACCCCCCACCCCCCCCACCACCAATAACCCCCACACCAAACAAAACAACACACCCCAACAACCCCACCCCCAAACCTCCCTATACCCCCCAACCCCCCACAACAACCACCAACAACCACCCACACCCACCACCCCCTCATACCCACACCACCCCAACACCCCCCCCACACACCAACCCACCAAACACCCCAACACACCCCACCCCCACACAACCCCCCCCCCCACCACTCTAAAAACACAACACCCCACCACCACCACACCCCCCACCAACCCACAAAACCCCCAACCCCTCCAAAACACCCCACAACCCCCACACACCACCCCCCCACCCCACCCAACCCAAAACACCAAAAACCCACAAAACCCCCACACACCCCACAACAATCAACAAAAAAAAACACCACAACACCCCCCACCCCCCCACCCCCCCCCAACCAAAACACCCCCCAAACACCCCAACAACACCACCAACAACAAACACACCCCCCACACACCCCCCCCCCCCCCCACCCCACCACACCCACAACCCCAAACCCCCCACCACTCCAACTCAAACCCAACCCCCCCACCCAACCCCCCCCCCCCACCCCCACACCCAACCCCCCCCACACCACAAACAAACACACCCCACCCACAACACCAACAAACACAAACCACCCACAACCCACCCCCCCTACCCAAACACCCCCCACCCCCCAACAAAACAACCCCACACAACCCCCACCCCCACCAACCTCCAACACCCACCCCAACCCAAACCACAACCACCCCACACCACACAAAACACACCTCCACACCCACCCCAACAAACCCCCACCCCCCCCACCCAAAACCCCCCCCCCCCACACCCAACCACAAACACACCCAACCCACCACCCAACAAAAAAAACCCCCCCTCAAACCAAACCCCAAAACAAACCACAAACCCCCCCCACCCCCCCACACACCAACCACACCCCACCAAACAAACCACCCACTACACAAAAACAACACCAACCCCCCCACCCCAAAAACCATCAAACCCACAAAACCTAACCCACAAACAACCACAAACCCCAAACCCAAAACCCCCCAACCCAAACCACAACAACCACCCACCTTAACACATCAAACCCCAAACTCCCCCCTCCCACAAACAAACCCCCCCCCCCCCACCCACCCAACCAAACCCATTCAAATACAAAACAATACACTAAATACCACCCCCCCCAAACCCCAACCCCCACACAAACATTCAACCCCACCTCCATTCATACCCCATTCCCCCCTTACCCCCCCCCAATTACCTATATATACAAAATATATCCATCAATATATATATAACCCATATATACTCCAATCAATAATCAAAAAAAACATAAATATATAACTATCAAAAAAACCACACCACCCCCCCCCCCCCCCCCACACCCCCCCCCCCCCACACACCCCCCCCCCCCCCCAACCCACAAACACCCACAAACCCAATACCAACCCCCCCCCCCCCCCTACCCAACCCCATAACACCCCCCAAAACAAACCAAAAACCCCCCATAATAACCACACCCATCCAACAATTCCCCCCCCCACCCACCTACCCCCCACCACCAACCACCCTACCCCCCCACACACCACCTCCCCCACCCCCCAAACCCCACCCATCCCTACCCCCCAACACCCCCCCACCAACCCCCACCCACCCCCACCACCCACACCAACCCACCCCCACCCCCCCCACCAAAAACCAACCACCCCACAAAACACAACACCAACAATAACCCAACACCACACCACAAAACAACACCCACAAACACAACCCCAACCACCCAATCTCCCACCCCCAAAACACACACCACCCAAACACCCTCACAACTAATATACCAACACCTATCCCACACCACACCTCACACACACACACACACTATCACACCTCTCTTCCCCCCATCAACACAACCCCCAATCACACTCCCCACTACACTCACCACACATCTCCCTACACTCCTCACACTCACACTATCACCTCACACACCACACTCATCCCTCTTCTCCACTCTCACTACCCCCCTCTCACTCCACACTCACACCCATCACTATCTCACCTCACCTCTCCCCCTCATCTTTTCTACCCCTCTCACACTTTCTCTCTCCCTCTCACACCAAATCTCTTCCACTCTCACACCCCCATCCACTCCATCTCACCCTCTCACACCCCCACTAACACTCCCTCTCTCTCCTCTCTCACTCACTCTACTCATCCCACACTCTCCACACATCTCACTCACTCACACCCCTCTCACTCCTCTATCTCTCCCTCTCTCTCTCCCCTCTCTTCTCCCCACTCTCTTCCTCTCTCAACCCCAATACCAAAACCCCCCACAAAAACCATATACCCCCCATCCCCACATCCCAACCCTCCCCACACCACCCCCCACCAACCACAAAAAAACCCCACACCAACCAACCAACCTACAACACACACCCACCCACCACTACCCCCCAACCACCCAACCACACCAAACAACCCCCCCCCACACCAACCCAACCCACCCACCCCCCACCCCCCCCCCACACTCAACCCCCACCACCCCCACCTCAACACCCACCACCACCACCCCCCACCCCAAACCCACCCCCCCCCCCCCCCCCAACAACCACAACACCACAAACACCCCCAACAACAACAACACCCCAACCAAACTAACACCTAACCAACCCACACCATACAACCACCATCATCATCAAACACACCCCCTACAATAATTCAACCTCCCCCCTACAAATAACTCCCCCTTCCCAACAACACCCCCAACAACAAAAACCTCACAAATCCTCATCATACACACCCAACCTCATAAACACCATCCACAACACCACCAATCCACAACAAACCCAAAACAACTCCACCCAAACAACACCACCACACAACCAAACACCACCAACAACACAACCAACCCCAACCACAAAACCAACCCAACCCCACTAAAACAAACCCCTACCACAACAAAAACCAACAACAACCTCCACCCAAACAACAACCCAACCACACCACCAACACAACAAAACACCCCCCCCACCCCCAACAACCAACAACCAACCACCACACCCCCCCCCCCCACCCCCCCACCCACACCACCCACCCCACCCAACCCACCCCAACCACAAAAACCCCCCCAAACCCAATACCCCCCACCACCCCCCCAACCCCCCCACCCCCCCCACCAACCCCCAACCACAACCCCACCCCACAACCCCCACAAAAACAAACCACACCCACCAAACACAACACCACACCCCAAACACAAAAACAACCACCACCAACCCCCACCCACCCCCCCCCACCCCACCCCCCCCACCAACCCCACTACCCAAACCCAAACCCCAACACCCACAAAACCAACCACCCCCCCAAAACAACCCCCCACACCCACCAACCCCCCCACCCAAACACCCCCCCCACAAACCCACCCCCCCCACCAAACCCACCCCCCACAACACAAAAAAACCCCAAACCCAAAACCACCAACACACCCCACACAAAAAACCCCACCCACCAAAAACAAAAACCCACACCCCCACCCCCAAACAAACACCAACCCCCCCCCCCCCCCCCCACCCCCCCCCCCACCCATCAAACACCACCCCCACCCCCACCCCCACACCCCCCACCCCAAACACACCCCCCACCCCCCCCCAACCCCCCCACCAACACACACACAACCCCCAACACCCACCCCCCCACCCCCCCCCCCCCCACCCCCCACCAACCCCCCCCCACACCCCCCTCCCACACACACACACACCCCCCCAACAAACCACCCCCCCCCCCCCCACCCCCCCCCCCCCCCCCCCCCCCAAACAAACAAAAAACAACACAAACCACCCCCCACACCCCCCCACCCCACCCCCCCCACCACCCCACCCACAAAAACCACCCAACCACCCCCACACCCAACCCCCACCCCCCACCCCCCCCCCCCCCCCCCACCACCCCCCCCACAAACCCCCACACACAACCCACCCCAAACAACCCCCACCCCCCCCCCCCCCCCCCCCCCCCCACCCACAAAAACACCCCCCCACCAACCCCCCACACACCCCCCCACCCACACCCACACAACCCCCACCACCCACCACCCCCCCACCACCACCTCCCCCACCACACAACCCCCCCACCCCCCACCACCCCACCACCCAAACACCACCCCCCCAACCAACACCCACACCCCTCAACCCCTACCAACACACCCACCAAAACACCACCCCCCACAACCCCAACCCCCCCCACCCCCCACCCCCCCCCCCAAACCACACCACCCCCAACCCCAACAAACAACCCAACCCCCCCCACAAACCCCCCCCCCCCCCCCCCAACCACCACCCACACCACACAACACCCCAAACCACCCACACCCCAAACAACAAATCAACAAACCCAAACACCACACACACCCCCCCCCCACCCCACCCAACAACCCCCACCCAACCCAACCCCCACCCACACCCCCCCCACCCCAACACACCCAACAACCACAACCCCCCCCCCCACCCCCCCCAACCCCCCACACCCAACCCCCCCACCCCCCCCCAAACCACAACACACCACCACCACCAACACCCCCCCACACCACCCCCACACCCCACACACCCCAAACCCAACACCCCACCACCCCCCCACACCACCCACCAAAAAAAAACACAACCACCCACAAAACCACCCCCCCCCCCCCCCCCCAACACAAACCCACACCACCCCCCACCAAACCCCCCCCCACCCCCCCCCCACACACCACCACCACACACACCCCCCCCCCCACCCCCACCCCCCCCCCAAACACACACCCCCCACCCCAACCCACACCCCACCCACCCCCCCACAACCCCCCCCCCCCCCAAACCACCACCCACACACACCAAACCACCCCCCCCACCACCCACACCCCCCACACAACAAAAACCACCCCAACCCCCACACACCACCCCCAAACCCAACAACAACCACCACCCACCCCCCACACCCCCCCCCCACCAACCCCCACCCACCCACCAACACCCCCCCCACAACCACCAACACCAACCACCACCCCCCCCCCCCCCACCCCAACCCCACACCCACCACCCAACACCCCACCCCCACCCCCACCCCCCCCCCCAAACCACACCCCACACCCCACACTATCACCCAAAACCCAAACCCACCACCATCCCTAAACCCCCATCCAACACAACCCTACACAACTAACAAAAACCCAACCCAACCCAACCACAACCCACCCCCACCCCCCCCCCACCCACCAAACACACCCACACCACACCCCAACAAACCCCCCCCAACCCCCAACCCCCCCCCCCCCACCCAACCAAAACACACCCAACCCCCCAACCCCCAACCCCCCCACCCCCACACCCCCCCCACAACAACACCCCCCCAACACCCACCCCCAAACACCCCCCCCACCCCCCCCAACCCCCCAACCCCCCACCCCCACCACAACACACCACACCACCCACCCAAAACCCCCCCACACCCCCACCCCCCCCACCCCCACCCCCCACCCCCCCCCCCCCCCACCCCACACCCCACCACCACCCCCACCCCCCCCCCCCCCCCCCACCCCACCACAACCCAACAACCCACCCAACCCCCCCAAAAACCCACCCCCCCACCAAACCACCCCCCCCCCCCCCCCCCCACCCCAAACAAACACCCCAAACCAAACACACCACACACACCCCAACACCCAAACCCCACCCCCAACAAAAACAAACCCCCCCCCCCCCCCCCACCCAACACAAAACCACACCCCACACACACACCCAAAAACCCAACCCACACAAACCCAAACCCCCACCCCCCACACCCACCCACCACACCCCCACCACAACCACCCCCCACCCACAACCCCCCCCCCAACCCCCCCACCCCCCCCACCACCACCCCCCCCCCCCCCACCAACCCCAACCCCACCCCCCAACCCCCCCACCCCCAAACACCCCCCCCCCCCCCCCCCCACACCACCAACCACCCCCCCCAAACACCACCCAAACCCCCCCCCAAACCCCCCCCACCAAACCCCCCCCCCCCAAAACAACCCCCCACCCCCACACCCCACCACACCCACCAAACCCCCCCCCCACACACCCCCACCCAACCCCCCCACAACCACCCCACCCACCCCCACAACCAAACAACCCAAAACCCCCCCCCAACCCACACAACCACCCCACCCCCACCCACCAACCCCCCCCCCCAAAAAAAAACCCCAAAAAACAACCCA